TGTTTTGTGTTATTTGCATACAACCAAGAGTGTACGAGTGAAATTTCTAAATGACGTGGTAAGAATTTTAACCACAAACTGAGGCAATATTTATTACGTGATTTGTAGGCTGATTACACTCTCCCATATGAACTGCTGGAATGAATAAAAACATCATCCTAAAATGTATCCAGAGAGGAATTTCTGATAGAGAAATAGTACTATTAAAATAAGATTTCACTTGGGATATCTGAGCCAAAGTCGTTTCAGATTTGCTTAAAAAGCAGGAACCCTGATGACTATTGCAAACAGAATTGATGGCAATCTTGAGAATGTGGCTAACAAGATAATAGACTGACCAGCAGGATGTCTGTTGTCCATCATATCATAGAATACACAGAGATATAAACAAGACATTTGTAGTATTGTAGAACTGTACAAACAGGAATTAAAGATACAGAGAGCATGCACTAAGCAGCTGGTGCTGATAATGACTTTAGCTTAGCATATGGATAATGTTAACTGTTAAGAATGAATGGTAGGCACACAGTAGAAGAGAAAAAGGAAGAGAGAAATTTATTAAAAAAAAAAAACTGCCAGGAGAGTTTTGGTTCTGTGTGTCAGTTCTCTTTCTTACTTTTGTGTTCTTCTGCCTCAGCCAGTATTTAATTTTGAGTGTGTTAAGTTTTGTTTACAAAACCTAAGCTTCAATATAATAATTTTCACCCTTTTCAATCTCACTGGTTACCTCACCTTTGTCCCATGTCCAGCATCTTTGAAAGTATGCTTCTTTTTTTCACCATGTTAGTATTAAATTAAACCATCTCGGCCACACAGAAGCTTCACTTATTTTCTTTTCTTCTACTTAGATGGAAAAAACCCCAAAAAAAAAAAAAAAAAAAAAAAAAAAAGAAAAAAAAAAGAGAGAGAAAAAAAACCCCACCCACAAACACGAAAACCAACCTACCCACAAAACAAGTGAAAAAACCTCTCAAAATTTAACTTGGTTTGATCTCAGGTAACACTGCAAGTTCTATACTTTCTAATCTTACAAACTCTAGATTTCTGTGCTAACTAATCCTTTTCTTCCATTCTTAGTTGCCTATAGATCATTTAATTGAGATGTTTATTCAGTTAATTACATCTAAGATTAATTTTATACCTCTGATTTAAAGAAATGCCAAATCTCTCTGCTTCCTGATCCCTGAGTTCCTTAATCTGAGTTCTCCCACTTAATTTTTCTTAAGCCCTTATTGTCCCCAAATTTGTTCCCTTAAAAATTGAGAACCACAGAGCATAGACCTGCTTTTCCTTTCATTTAGACAATTAAACTGAATGAACTGATAATCTCAGTTTAGGTGTTCTTTTTATATAACTTCCTCCCCTCTGACTGAAACCAAAGCTGAGATTCATTGTCCCAAGAGAAGAACTGGTTGTTTGATTAAGATATTGGACGCTTCAGCTGGAAGCCTGTTTTCTAATATTATCATAATGTCCTCTTCAGTCTGTACCTTGAAAGCTATCCCTCTGCCATGTACTTCATAATAATGATATGTTTGAGGTAATATGACTCTCTCGTAAAGATGTGGCCTGATCTAGGTATGACCTTGGGGGCTTAGTAGGCTTCACACTGTTCCAATACACAGTGCATCTCAAAGCAACCTTATTTTTCACCATGCTACTTCTTTTAGTTCCTCCAGTTTTTGCTCCCTTTTGACAAACTGCTGAAAAGATTTTAAGGATTTTATAGACTAGTCTTGGTATCTCAGACTCAAAATGGTTGTTGATGGGTTTTCAATAATACTAGAAAAAGAGATGACTAAGGAAGGCTTGGATTTGCTTAGGAGTAGGTGTTAGCCTCCTCCATCAGTGGCTGAATAAAAGGTATGGTGCATTGAATGTACCCTCTTTCCTGTTCTCTGACCTTTGATAAAACCTCATCATAAGAAAGTGAATGGTGAGAGCAGATAAAAACTCTTGAATCCTGGACTTAGTTTAATTTGACTGTTTCTAGGCTGGAAATAGTCTATTTCTATTTCCTAGGACAGTGAGCATTGTAAGCTTGGGAAATGGATAGGGGTGATCACTAAAGCATGTAGTGTGTGTGTGTGTATATATATATATATGTATAGTCTGACTTGAAATTTTCACCAAGACACTAATCCAATACCTACTTTCAGCATAGTTTTCTGATCAGGTTCTGCCTTCTGATACACAATGCACAACCTTGGCTGATTTCAGGAAGTTTTTTGTTATAAGGAAAATATTTCTCCCATTTAGAAACTCCTTTTATGCTAGTGCCCGTGGATAAAATCAAGACGTGCATCATTCTGTGTAACAACCTTGGCTGATTTCAGGAAGTTTTTTGTTATAAGGAAAATATTTCTCCCATTTAGAAACTCCTTTTATGCTAGTGCCCGTGGATAAAATCAAGACGTGCATCATTCTGTGTAACTGCTAAGGCTCACTTCAACAGCCAATACCTTTTTTGTAGTAGCAGTACTCCAATACACAAGATGGGTTTAGAGAGGGAGAATTTATTTTCTTGTAGCAATCAAGACAGACACAGGTGGCTATCCGGCTCCCAAGTCTGTAAACCCTTCAAGAGAAGCTTGTTCAAAGCTTGCATGATTTTCTGTCCTGTCTATATCAACTGCAACCCCCCTGCTCTGCATCACTTTTAAAGCATGTGAAGAAACTCTGCATACAGGATATATACAACTTAAGACGGTAAAGTGATTATGTGCTGGCTAATATACCTAAGAGAGGAAGGGCTAATGAACTACTAGGCTGAGCAGTGGTGTATCAGTCCTAATGTGACACCTTCTGAATTTCTCTACTGGTCACACAGTCCTCAGTCAAATCAAGAAGGGTTGCTGGGTTGCCATATCCCAACTCCCTGTTTTTTCTCTTAGGGTTTTATACATTTTTAGGCCATCCCTTTTTCTCTCAAATCCTTTGCCTGCTAGCCACCACTGCCTCAACTTCTGTCTGTGAAAGGTGTTTTACTTTTCTTTTACCGTTGTTGTTTTTTTTCTTATCTAGTATGGCTTTAGCTTGTGTTTTCACATCTTCACAGCAATTGTTTCAATAAAACTGAACTAAGGTCACTGTACCTGATTACATGTGCCCTGCCCCACAGGCTGAGGGTTACACCTTCTTCCAAACCACCAGGCAGAGGCGCGAGAGGCAGAGATATGCATCTGTGAACTATTCTGCAACCATATGCCCTGTGAATCTAGGAGAGGTTGCATATTGGCTTTTACCAGCTTAACATAGTGGTCCTTGAAAATGGCATCCTATGGTACCATGCCTAGCAGGGAAGGGATGGGAAGGATGCAGAGCTCTATCAGTCTCCCTGCCTGCCTTCCCCAGCTACCCTACCACTCAGACATGTAGGATGTTGAACTCTGGGTCCGCAGCAGAAACACCTCCTGTCAACATCCTAATGCACCACACTACTTGCTGGTGTAAACATAGCCTTTGTAACCTTGTGATACTGCCTTCACTGAGTGTGGAGGAGCAACACAAAAAATGGGGTGTCAATGTTTTTGAAGGAGAAGAGCACCAGAATCCTAGGAAAGGGCAAGTCCTGGTCAACTGTTTGCTATTGAATAGTAAATGATCTACTTTACTAAGTATGAACCACAAAGGGAACACTAGGAAAAGGCATCCTATTCCTTTTTCAGTTTGAGTGTGCAAGATACCCACAAAAAGATTTTTTACAATGGGTCACTGCTTCCCATTATGCTGAAGCTAGGTCCTTGCAGACTATGACTGAGAGTGCTTAACACAGTCATGAAATGCTAAATAAAAGAAACTTTCTGGGTGACTTCCTTGCATGGAAAATGAAAAGTATGTTGTTTGGGGACCAGAATCATTCTGTTTATATTCAACATATGAAACTAGATATATTGCAGCCTCTTGCACATGCTGAGCCACACTTGTGAGTATCTCACTGCTGTTTATACAATGAACAAAGATCAGCCTGGTCTCTAGGGCAACTGCATACTACAAAACCACAAAAATAATTGCTGTTTGAATTTGCACTGGCAATTGCTATGATTCTGGACTAATAGCCTAGTGGCAACTGCAAAAGAACTGGAGTATTTTTTTCATGACTCAGCCCTCTGTAGCAGATTGTTCAATATTGTGGACTAGTGGAAATGCAAAATGTGAATGTCTTTAACTTGCACATCATAGTTGTAAAAAATGCTACTCCTGCTGATTCTGGGAACTCAGAGGAGAAAGAAGATATCTCAGAGACAACAGAAGATGCATTTTCTAGTATAAAAAAACCCCAGAGACAGATTTCAGTAAAATGAGGAACCATTTTGAGTTCTTAAATTAAGAACAAGAAACACAATATCGTACATTTGATATGTTGTTATTCAAAGTATAGATGCCTGTCACCCATTTCCTCTTATGCTGAAAGTATCATGAAACCAAAGAACTTAACCACAAAGTCACATTTGTGCAGAGCCTAGACTTGTAATGCTTCTGCTATGAAACACGAATATGGGAAGAAGCTGATATTCAGCTCTTCAAAAGAAATTTTACACATCTTGGTAGTTAAGTCTTCTCCTTAATTTCAATAATCTGATTGATTTTTTTTTTCTTATTAGACTGCTCAGGAAGGAACATGTTTTCACATTTACTTACTGAGAAAAGTGGGCTGAAAGGTTGGCTATCTTTTCACTGCTCTTTCAGCTTGTAAGCTATTTTTACAGGCAGGCTTGCAGACTGAAGTGGAAAAGACCATAACTTCTTCATGGATTAGACTTGCTACAGCAAGTCAGGACCCATCCTGCCTCTCGGTATTTAAACAAGGTGTTTATTCAGTAGCTGGAGCTATGGATCAATGAACTATGTTAACTGGGACCTCAGACTTTGCCTTTCAAGTGGTCTAGAAGTGCAATGTATGCCAGTGAGGGCTAAAGTGCGTTATGGTGGTGAATGCTGAAGATGTAAACAGTGTCCTCCAGCCAAAAAAATCCCTAACCACTTTTATTTTCTTGCAGAGGTTGATGAAGAGTGGCAAGGACTTGATGAAAACGTTGCCCATGTTCCCTTCTTCGCGGAGCGCTACTCTGAGACTGAAATGATTAAAAGGTCACAGATGTTTTATGAGCTTCTCGATAAGAGGAGGTCTGTCAGGTTTCTCAGTGATGAGCCGGTCCCCAGGGAGGTTATTGATAATGTCATCAGAACAGCAGGTATGGTACTGAGCAGTACAAGGTCTGGAATCAAAAAAGAAAGCCTAACATTGCTGTTCATCTGTGTAAAAGTGATGTGGAAAAGCCAAGGGAATTGGCACATAGCTTCCTTTTTTTATTAGATTCACCTGTGGCCATAATGAATGAATCATACAATCACAGAATTGTTTGGGTTGGAAGAGACCTTAAAGACCATCTCGTTCCAACCCCCCTGCCATGGGCAGGGACACCTTCCACTAGACCAGGCTGCTCAAAGCCTCATCCAGCCTGGCCTCGAACACTTTCAGGGATGGGGGACCTATGGCTTCTCTGGGGAACCTCTTCCAGGGCCTCACCACCC